TTATGCAATAAAAAATATAAGGAAAAGAGGATAAAAGTATTGGTTATTTAATTAGTCAATTATGTATTATATATAATATATAATTATAATATATATTATATATAATATTATATATTTAATATATATAATATATAATTAATAATATTATTATATTATATATATATAATATTATATATATAATATTAGCACACTAACGGCTTTGTATATATATATACTTTAATTTTTTCTTGGGTTTGTGTTAATCTTGAACCTTTTGACTACTCGATTCGTTTAAAATATTACAATCAGCATGATTTTAATGATCTGTGCGTAGTACATGTATAGTATTCGAAAGAGAGATAAAAGAGAGAAAGAGAGAGAGATACTAATGCAAGTTATGAATTTATTCGATAGATTTGTCGATCCATATTGTTCATGGTAATAACCCAAGCACACTGATGTGAGTAAGAGGCGTGGACAACGTCATAAAGATAAATTTGAAATTCCAAATGGAATTTGTAACAACGATAATATTGGCTTCACTTGATCAAAAGGTTGAAATCTATTCGTTTCTTCTGTAAAACGACTTACTAGTCATACTAAAATATTTTGCGACCGTAAATTCATTAGTTTTGATTGGACGATGAAAGGAAATATTTGAAAGGATTGTCAGACTTGACAGAAAATCTACTTATTATTTTGTTGTTGTTGTTTTTTTTTTTTTCTTTTCTTTTTATACTCATTCTTTCTTTCTGACGGCTCGTAAACATTGCGAAAGTATACGATCACAATAAATCGGGACACGTACCATTAATGAAAGTCAAGTGCCGTGCATAAATCATTTATCAACAATTACCAAGCAAGCGCCTCTTTGTCGTGTACCATTTTTTTGTTTTTCTTTCCCCTTTCTTTTCCTTGCAAAATTTTTATCGATCGATCGATCGATCGATCGGTCGTATACATTTACATCGATTAATCCTCATTCGATTATTTTTTTTTTTTATTGTTTTTTATTGTTTTTTTTTTTTTAGCAGAATTTTATAAAAATATTTGCGATTTTTTCAATATTGTATTTAACACTTAACCTATCAATGTATTTAGCCAATTGGATGTCAGATAAAATATTTGCTTTAATTTTAAAAATGAATAATGTACATTCTTACAAATTACAGAGAGCTCGGTTAAATATTTGACATATTTAGTTTGAAATGTCGAATATCAGTTAAATGATCAACCTTTCCATTTTTTTAAATTTTTTTTCTTTGTGAATTTGCTTTAACTTTAATAGTATGTCTCTTTAATCTTTATTATTAAATATTAAAACATTTATTATCTTGAAGACTATTGTTTCAATTATAAATTATTTTAAATATAAAAATTTAAACGTCAATTAAGTGTGTCTCGACACTAAAATTTAAAAGAATAATGAAAGTGGAGTTAATTACTTTGGCCTGTGAATAGCTCAATTGTCTCTTGTCTAAAAACGTAATTTAGAAGAGGTAATACGCATTTTAATTTTTTAGTATAAAATGGTCTCAGAGTGCTAAAAAGATCTAACCAAAAAAAGTGCGGAAATTTCATAGGGAATGTGCCATTGAAAGATCAAAATTGTAGATTTCTTAGAATTTTTGTTCTCTTTTAAATAAGTTTTAAAACTGTTACTAAAGCATTAGTAAAAAAAAAAAACGTTTTATTATTATATTATAATATAATTATAAATAATTATGAAAAATAATATAATTATTAAAATTATTTATTTTATCTAATAATTAAAATATTAAAATATTATAACATATTATTTTATAATATCTAAAAATTAAAATTATTATTCATTAAAATATTAAAATAATCTAAAATATTATTTTATAATATCTAATAATTAAAATTATATTATATCTAATGTGTGGATTCTAGACCTGTTCAATAACGGTGATAATTAACATAACGAAACACTTAATTTACAAATTTTTTTAAACAGTAATCTACACTTTTTTATAATGCATAAAAAAAAAACAAAGAAAAAAAATTTTTATCTCAAATATTTTTTCATTCCGAATCCGAGAAAAATAAATAATATGAATTTAATGGATTAACAAATCGATAGATTTGATAGATCTTTTCTAGTGTAAATGTCTAAAGTCTAAGTCGCTTGACAAGTTTCTTTCTAAAACTTCTTTCTCTCTCTCTCTCTCTCTCTCTCTCTCTCTCTCTCTCTCCCTCCCTTTCTATCTATTTATCTCTTGATTAGTATTAACTAATTCAAATAGTATAACGTTCTATGCATTTCAATGACCCCAATAATTTATTGAAACTGATCATCATCTTCCTGCTAGATTCATTAGTTAAATCAGTCATATTTCGTTAGAAACTATTCCTTAGTTCTTTCGATAGATATCATTATGCATATAAAGTTAGATTTATAGTTAGATTCTTTGTTCATTTTGCTTAGATATTTCTCGAGAGAGAGAGAGAGAGAGAGAAGAGTATCGTCTAGACATCCTTCATTATAATACGATAAAAGTTCCCTATGATGGCTTCATTAAAGTACCAAAGCGTAAATATCTCTCTCTCTCTCTCTGTTTCTCTCTGTGTGAAACTCTTTTTAAGTGTGTATTAAATATCACGATCGTTAATGTATCCTTACAACGTTTCTCATCCTTAAATGGTTTATAGTTTATAGCTGTTTTTGCAATACTAAGATTGACTTATCTCAGAGGTCTTTATAAATGCCTCATTAGAAAGGATAGAAAATAGTTAGACTGGTTTCTACAAATAATGAAAGCGAATAGATCGCGAACTTCGAAATGAAACACAAAGTTCAATGTACGGATGATTGCATATGAAAACAATTAGAATATTAAGTATTACATATCAATAATAATAATGTATAATATGTTTACTTACAATCTAACCAATTACTCTATTATTATCTATCTTTTCATCAATATTTGCCAAGTCTTATCATCAATGATTGCATCGATTGATTCCGCAAATAACAACGTTCTTGAGAACTTTATCTAAAGATACAATAATTACCTATTGGTTATCATTTAAAAATACAACATTTCCTTTTTCTAATCGTTTTTCTAACATTTCCATGAGCAATAGGATTAAATACTTCGACAACAATAAATCTATACAGAAACTTTATATATATATATATATTATATTTTATATTCAGTATACGTTAAGCTGTTATTCTACTCACTCAGTCGAGTATCCGTGTACTTGATAAGATACTTGAGTAAAAGAAATATATCTGGGTATATTTTACTCAAATACTCTACCCGTGTTACTCAAGTATTTACAATATTGCGTATTTTTATTCTCCCTTTTATAGAATTCGTGTGAATTCTTTACATACACCTTCTTATACCTATTCAATACTAGTCAAACGATTGGGTCTTTTTTACCTTCTCTTTAGAATCAACAACACACAGGTTTTTTTCCCCCAAAAAAAGGTTACCAATCCATTTTACTGCGTTGCTTGATTTTATTGATACGATCAGGACTAGTAATCCAACGTGTTAGATCGTTGAATTTACAATTAGTATTTACAATAAATAATATTTATTTATTTTTTTTTTTTTTTTTGAGATAATAAAACTATTGAACGAGAGAAGTCAGTTACAAGACTACAATAATTTCATATTTGTATTTTTCATTTGATTTTTACAAATATCCCTGGGGACTGTGTAGAATTCAAATAATATTCCATATTGTGAAATAAAACTAAATTCTCAGATACTCGAAGTACCTACTTGAATTGTCAATAGTTAATAAAAAAGAAGAAAGATTAAACGTAAATTAAAAAAGTTGAAAAGAAAAAAAAAAGAAGATATAGGAAAGGCTAGAAAAATAGTAACTCAATCTTGGAATATACTTACGTATGTATCAACAATTTGAATTTTTTCTTTTCAAAAGATCGTCATATAAATTCAGCGAATTAACGATTCGTATAAATATAGATTTATTTTATAACCTTAGCCTGGAAATAAATTATGAACTACGGTTATAACCTTCGAATACATTATCTCTAAGCGCCAGCAACGACGACAACGGCTAAGATGTCGCACTAGAGTCGCATTTCTCTTGCACGAATAAGAATAAGAAGAAAAATAATAAGAAGAAGCTAAAGAAGAAGCCGAAGAAGAAGAAGTTAACGAAGAAGTGGAATAAAAAGAAGATGAAGAAGAAGAAGAAGAAGTAGAAAAAGAAGAGAAAACGATAGAATCGAATTTGTACATATCTCGAGGATAAGAGATTGTAGTGGTGAAGTTGATGCTCTGGTATAGTACTACCAACAGACGAGGTCGTGCCAAAGATAACGACTATAAGAGAGAGAAGAGAGAGAGAGAGAGAGTGAATTGGTGGAGAGAACAACAACAAAAAGGAAAAGACGTAGAAAAAAATATAGTAGATGATAATAAGAGTGGGAGATAGAGAGGGAATGATAAAGATGTGAGAATGAGAAAGAGAAAGAAGCTAACGATGCTTGGCGGAGAGGGCGGGCGCCACGGTTTAGCGCCATGGCGCCGGCTATATTACTGCATGGCGTCACTTCGATTAAGCCGTGCAATCTAAATGTAAATATTAGCATACGTAATGATCGGGCAAAACGCGTGCGAGCATGCCGACTGAGAATAGACTGGAAAAGAAGAAGGAAGGTGGAAGGTCATGAGGAAACCGAAGGAAGTGGTATAAGCAGGATTTTACACCTATTCATTCTCTTTCCTTTTTCACCTTTTTATTTTTTTTTATTTTGAATGAAACTAATGGAAAGTGGACAAAATTTTATATCGTTAAAGTATATATATATATATATATATATATATGTATTGTAATTTAGATTATTCGCGAATAATTTAAGTTTTACACGAAATATTTAGGCGTATTAACCCTTAAAGTGCTGAATACTTTTATCTAAAATGTTTTGTAGAAGCGGAATAATTTATTAATAATAAATTATATTTTTATAATTAAAGTTTTTCTTTTCTGAATATAATTTAATTAATTAATATAAACATTTATCAAACCAACCACATTTACCATTTTACCAAACGCATATATGCATCCATAGCACTCTAAGGATTAAGGGAAGCATTAAAAAAGAAAAAAGAAAAGAATTTTATTAGTTTTTATTAACCAAAATTTGTTTTTACTTTTGAATTAAAATATGAAAAAACTTTTTCCTCGACCCATTATATACATACATATATATATATATATATATCAAATCGTTAATTACTAAATAGTGTGAAATTCGTTTTGGCGTACGTACAACTTTCTCCTTTGAAAGTGGCTTACATATTTCACCGTTTCTTTACATATGCCAATAAACAGCTACATTTGTGATTCCTTTCGAGAGATAGTTTTTCTTATAAGTCGCTTCCTATAGGATTAAGTTCAAGATTTATCTATCGTTACGAATAAAAAAAAAAAAAAAAGAAAAAAAAAGAAAATATTAAAATATGGTGGAGAAGAGACCAAATGATGAAAAATCATTTTCATGGTTGAAAGTTGTAATCTTGAGAACGTGTTAACGGTACAACAACCGTAGGTGTATTTAAGTTCGAACACGACTAGACCAATAAATACAACAACGAATATACATACTTTGCTTTCTACGAGCTTATACATATATATATATCTATACACGTACTTACTTGGAGACTCAGAATTTGCGTTCCTTGCGTCTAAAAGTGCGACAATAAATAAGTCCTGCATGCAAATGCTATTTATCGAGGGGGTTTTAACAATTCAGGCGCATGTTACATGCTAGAACGTTGGCATACGTTCCCTCTGCTGCACATTCAGCGTCATGGCATTACGTTTTCTTTACGAGTTCCTTATTCACGAGTTATCGTTTTCTACTTTCCCTCCCACTCCACCCCACTCCACCCCACCCTACCCCCATTTTATTTCTCTTTCTAATATATCACACTGGATTAGGAATGATTACAAAAGCGAAATTCCAATTACTTTCAAGAAATAAGAAAGAAAAATAGAGGAAATAAGTGAAAAGCGTGGGAAACAAAAGATCCGTCATGTTGTTATAAATTCTTCCGTTAAATTGTTCCTATCTTCCAGGATATACATATATGTATGTATATTAATCCAACATTCCTTCCGTATACGACGACGACGACGACAACGACGACGACGACAACGACGACGACGACACAAGCTCTCGCTAAGTCGAGAAACCAGATTTTAAAGGTCACAGCAAAATTCCAATTGCTATCGCGATAAGTAGAAGAAAAGGAAAAATTGTAAGGAATTGGCTCTCTCTCCCTCTCTCTCTCTCTCTTTCTGTCTCTTTTTCTTTCATTCTTAAACACGATTTGCAGTGGGATACGAGCTCCTTACGATTTGATTTTTTAATACTTGGCTCCTGAACACTAGAACGAGACTTAAACTTGATTTACTATCCTAGTTGTAGAATTAATGGGCCAGGAATATCGATAAAACGATGTTTTATATTTATTCTTAATTGGGCCAAGTTATGCGCAGAAAACTACCAATACTCAATGATTTGAAAGTGTGTTAAGTTTGTTTGAAAATTTTTATCTAAAAAAAAAAAAGGAAATGCTTTATTTCTATTAGACATATAATCATATTTGATTTCTTAATGTTATCCTATTATATTTTTTAAATAGCTTATTTAATACCACAGTTCAAATGTTTGTAATATAAAATTGTTTTAAGATTTGATATAGTGGAGTTACTGAACATATATTACGTCAAAGATACTTCTATTACTACAGTATTCTTTTAAACTTGCAAGAAATTAGTTTTACAGTAAATTGTAAACTTGCAAAATTAATCAATCAATAAATAATGTAAGAGTGATTCTATGGTTTGGTAGTTTAAAGAATACAAATTTGAAAGTCCAGTGATACGTACTGTGTTTAATTAATTTTCTTGTTATCTTGGGGGTTGGTAGATTTATTCATAAGTAGAATCAATTAAGAACCTACGTGTTGTTTAATATAATATCTAAAGATAAATCATTGAAAAATATCTAAATAAAGAAAATGATAGTTGTCTTCGTTTAGTGTCCTGGTAATCATCTGACAGTCTCATTGCCTCCTACCGATGGAAAGGTAAAGTCGTCGTACGATTAGTGATGCGTACAGTTTCCTTTTATGGTTCTCATCTTGATAAGAAACTGCGACCCATGAGCTCACCGATTGGACTGTCACATCGATTCTCATCGACTTTGAAACGACCGACGGACGTCACAAGAACGGACCTAAGAGTTTCTTTGTCGTTTGCCGTCGTTGTCGTCGTCGTCGTCATCGTCGTTGATGTCGTTGTTGTCATTGTTGTTATTGTTGTTGTCGTCGTCGTCTTCGTCGTCGTCATTCGACGATCGAATATGGAAAAAGAAACGAAATAGGATGAAACTTGTTTGAATCTCCCGCCTCCTTGAACTCTTCGTGCTCCCTCGAGTTCCTTCGAGTTACCTCGAGGGCACTCGAGGTCGACTTACCAAGAGACCCACGACCAAGTCTTCGGAGGTCATCCTCCTCGTGTATGTACGTACGTACGTATATTAATGCAAGCGAAATCCTACGGAAATCATTTACAATATTTATCTTCTATACTCCTCTCTCCGAGTTTAGTTGATTATGCACCATGATACGTTAGAAATCAACTTCCAACCGTTCCTAAAGGAATTATAACAACAAATTAGAAAATATAAAAGATGATTTATTCAAATAAATTAATATCAAATAATCAGCAAAATTTGATTAGAGATAGAAGCCTAAATCTAAAAATGGCCACAACTTTTTTGGGAACGCTACTCATATCATAAAATTTTAAGAAGACTTAAACACAAAACACATTATAGAATTCATTCGCACGGTTAGCCAACAATAAATAATTTAACATTATCCAATAATAAATCAGCGATTCATAGGTTGAGAAACACTGATATATCTTATATTTAACAAACCATTCATCTTGAAGATATGAATGAACAATGAATTTGACAAGTTCAATTCTAGCTTTGAAGTAAGATGGCTTACTAGAGTGTTAACTCGTCGACTCGTTACGCTTTTTTAGTAGACAAGCAAAGAAATTGATATCTCGCTGGGATCACTGTATGTATCCGCATTGCAATCACGATCGTATTCACGAGAAGGCAGAGTGACTTGCTTAGTTTACTTTTTTTTATTTTACTTATTTTTTCTTCATCAGCTTTGCAATGATTTCAAGAGAACTAAGTTTATCGCTTACATTAACCCCTTGAAAAGTGGCGCCACTAAGAACATATGGCGTCTCTTCCCCCAATTGCTTGAGCATCAACGTATGAGAAGATTGAATCGATTTTTGGCCGGGTGTTGAAAAACGCAAGAAAAAAAAAGAGGAAAAAAAAAGATCAGTCGTCTTATGATCGTTTAGTAAAATTTTAAACCAGCCGGATCGTACTTGTTCGGAATGAACAACGTGGTGGGGATCGACGCGGCACAAGCGCCATAAAAGCAACATTCGAAGTAGCAGTAGGTTGGCGCCAACCAGCTCTTTTTCTTACCGTACGGTCATTCTTTATGGTTCGTACACACAGATATTCCGGACTCTCAATGAGGAATATATAGATTCTCCTTATTTCTCTTGGTTTAGCACCACCAGCAGTTATTTTTGTTTTATGTTTTCACCCACACCAACTAACTATTGATACTATACTCATGTATATGTTGTACGCTAGCAATCATTTTTTCAATTTTCTCCGGTTATTCTTATCCAAGCGAAGGAATTTTTATTGTTGTTTTTTTTTTTTTTTTTTTTTTTTTTATAAATTTTCTTATATCATCTTCGATTTGTTTCAGTTACCGACACGGTTCAGGATCTACCAGCTCAATTGACGTCGGAGGAAGAGGAACGAAGCTTGAAACGTAATTTCTCTCTTCATAATTTAGTTCTTTTTTTCCCCTTTGGTAATCTCTTTTTCTCTCTAAGCGAAATGCTATAACTCAATTCGCACGGGATTAAAGTTAGCACCTACGATCGTGGTGAAGATATGCCGCTGATATACGAAGTTTATCGGTACGAAAGGAACGCCATCGTACCGGTCCAATGTTAACTCGCGAAAATCGTTATTTATGATTTTACGGTGTACCGTTTTAGAGAGCGTCGAGTTATTTACGTGCCTTCGAAAAGAGAATCTTAAGTAATAATGCTACGCTTACCAGGACGGCTGAATATCGTAAAATAGAAGTTGACTTTTATATCGAACGTTGCATTTTAACTTTACATTGAATTTTTTTATTCTATCAAATTGATTTTTACACTTTTCGTATCGTTCAACAGATTTCGGTACGCTGTTAACTGGAAAAACGTCCCAAGTGATACGCCGTGACGACGCAACACCATCATTCAGCTATAACAGTGCCTATAATTACTTAGCCACTGGTCGTTTCACGTTCCACCGAAAGAATTTGTATTATTCATTTTATCTATCAGCTGGGACACCTCGACCAAGGAGTATACAATTCATTGATAGCTCTGGCAATATTCTAGAAGAACAAACGATCGATGCCGCTGGTGGAGTTTATCAGAATGCAACAGGCAAAGTTTGTGGGGTTTGGAGAAGAGTACCAAGAGATTACAGAAAATTATTACGAGAAGAACGTCTTCATGTATCCTTCATTTGGGAACCATGCGCTAGTTTGACAGGACAATTGTCTCGATATCGAGCATTGTCTAGTGAACAATTTACATCTTTGTTGGAACCAACAATGGGTGTAGATAGATCTGTGATGTCAGGTGCAGGAGGCACTGCAATTGTCTCGGCTTCGTCAGCTTCAGCACCTTCAATTCATATTTCTCTCGTGTTCAATGGCGTTTTCTTACCAAACGATGTATCTGAAGTGCCAATAATTGTTCAGCTCGAACATGTGGAGAAGGATTATATAGTATTGACGGAAGAAATTATTGTAAAAAAGCCATCTAACGAACTGAACTTTGGGGAAGTTCGAAGTGCTTTGTCTGGAGCTGATCTACGTCTTCTAACGCGAGGAAAGTTATCAATCAGCATAATATCTCGAAGAGATCCACAGGCTTTGAGATTGTCTGGTATGGTTGGTCCACGAGTCAGTTGTGACATGTATCAGACGTTGTTGATATCTGAGAGTTCTTCTAAAGCTTCAGGGTTGGCTTGGGCTTTTCTTGATCGCACTGGTGCCTTGAGATATGGCGTAAGACTGATTGGTTTAGAAGAGGAAAGTCCATTGGTAACTTTGGTCGATGAGGGTGGCAAACGTCGTACAGAACTTGAAGATCTGACTCCATCTTTACGAGATGGTTTTGCTAATGGTACACTCGATCGACCTGGACCACGTTTCCTCGAGCCATTATTCAATGGTGAACTTTCGGTTGTCGCTGCATCTCATTTAGGCTCCCTGCTACGTGGTCGTCTTCTTCAGAGACCAGTTGCTGATGCCAGAGATACCGCAGCTCCGGTTTTATTGAGAAGGCTAAATGATGATTCACAACATCCAGCACTAACTGCTTTGATTTGGACTGCCATTGATTTAGATTGTGCTCTTCATTATGAACTTGAAATAGCTGGACTTGAACAACCTAGTATAAGCTCGAACGGTGACCAAGATGAACGTACTTTTGGCTTGTATCTGGAAACTATGCCAATTCTCGCCCAGGGTGCTCCAGTTGCCAGAAGACTTCTTGAAGAATTCACGGGAAATATTCTCGAGGGATCCGTCACCGGGCTCTCACCTGTGGAGTTATACAGGATCGAGTCTGGCATCGGCCTTCTCGAAGTGATGGACAAACAAACAGGCAGTTTACTGAAGGCACCTTTTAAGGCCAGAGCACCTCTCAGTTGTCTACCCCATTACGCCGACAACGACGTTGCCTCGGTCGTCGCTTACAATGTTTATCCGCCAAGATCGGACATCGAAACTGGCGCTTGTTTTCATGAGACTAGATTTTACGAGGAGGGTACTCAATGGACATCTGCTAACGACCCATGCTCAATGTGTCATTGTTATCGGGGATTGGCTCAATGCGATCCAGTACCTTGTCCAGTACTTGCTTGTCCTCAGGGTAAACAGCTGAAACCAACAGCAGGACATTGCTGTCCTATCTGCTCAGGTAAACCATTTCTTTCTCTCTCTCTCTCTCTCTCTCTCGTCTATCGAGATTCAATAAAAAAGATAAAGTTACTCGCGTGAAAGATTCGTCTTCTCAATTTCGCGGTTTGTTCTCCCACTTTGGTTAGCAAGAGTTGACCAAGAGATCGAATACGATATCATGGCAACGTAAACACTACAAGTATCGTCGTTCTACGGGTTTCCAAGTAGCTAATCGCGCATTCGAACGTGAAACTATTTGAAAATGTATTTTCACATTAATTCCTTTCACAGCTACAGCGACAAATACAACGGCTAAGAGTAATGTCACTTACGTTGGAAGAGGTTGTATTCTCGCGGGACAATATCATCCTAGTGGAGCTTCCTGGCATCCTTATTTGCCACCAGTTGGATTTGACACTTGTGCTGTTTGTACCTGCGACGTAAGTTTTATATTTGAGATTCCTCATTCCGAGAAAATTCTTATTGCGTTCCGAGATATAACTTACGTCAAAGTTGCAATGCACTCGTTTAAAGTTTTACTTTCACTCGTTCGAAAGCGTTTTGCAACATCAACGTCATTCCCATATACATACCATATACCATATATTCTAAGTTATAATAAAAGTTACACGCGATGCGCAGAATAATCCATAGAGATAATATCTATGAATTTAATATAAATTACGTAAGAATAACGTGATATATTATAAATTATGACTAGTCACACACATTCGATATTGATCGATGATTTTATTGACGTAGGCAACTATTTTTACAGTATTATTAATAAAAATGATTACAAGAAATGTTGATAAACTTTACATTAGAATAATTTCTTTGATTTATCTATCACGAATATATGACACTGACAGATAAAATCTTCTCTGCGTAAACAAGTTACTATCACTTCTTATTCGACGTTTGTCTTCTAATTACTCGAGCGAACAAGCCCTCGAGTCTTATTCGTTTCTCGTTCATTTATCTTATAGGCTGTCACGTTAGAGGTGAAATGTCCGAGAGTGCAGTGCCCGCCATTGGATTGCGACGAGAAGATCGCCTTTAGACCAGACAAGAAGGCTTGCTGTAAACAATGTCCTAGCACAACTCCAAGTTCTGCTATAGCGGTGACTGGTAATTTGGATGGGATGAGTTTACCACGAGATCAAGCAGTACTATCGATTCTTCGTTCACCCGAAGAAATTTTAGCTACAGGTGGTTGCAAGTATCCTCTCGGTGGACCCTATGAGAATGGTATGGAATGGCATCCAAGAGTTCACTCCCATGGTGAAATGAAATGCGTCAAGTGTCGATGCAAGGTAAGAAAAAGAGAGAAAGAATGATTGAAAGAAGGTCAGTTTTTCATCAAGTTCTGGATATGAAAGCTATTATCACTTCCTAGTTTATCAAGTGTTAGATTAATTTTATTTATCGAGAAATTGCAATTGAAGAATTTTCCTTATTGTACGAGTACTCGTTGTTGCCAAGCAAGATTCTCCTCGGCAACAACCACGACTCGCTTTACTTTTGCTCCTTGTTCTCGCACCATCGTCGTATGTTGCTCGCTCACACTCGTTAGAAGAGTAACCTCATTGCAATATCCAGACACGGGCACGACGAGAAAACCTTTAAGGAGAAAACCTTTAACCGGACTCGTTCGCCCGAACCGACCATTAAAAGGGTCCATCCATTACGATGAAAATGGAACACGGCCTCGGTGTGTATGCTCGCGCGAACGTATTGCGGCCTCGTATATACATATTTCGAAAGAAATCATCTGACTTTTTAGAAGATCAAAACAAATTTTCTATTCCATTTAGTATCTAGTTACTTTAATAAACTTTAGATTAAAGCTATTATTACCCGTCTCGTTAAATATTCGAATATTCGGTAAGATACGCGAGTAAATGAATAATACCAGGTATATTTTACTCAAATACTCTAATCGTGTTATTCAGGTATTTACAATGTTTTTCGGACAATTTATATTTCCCAACAAATATACATATCGGTTATTAATATCTCAAGATAAATACGGGTACTAGGGTATTCGGGAGTTACCATTAATTGTAATAATTTACATATATAGAAATAATTTTATAAGATTAACTTAATATTATTTCAGAATGGGGAAGTCAGGTGTGAAAGGAAACGTTGTCCGAGATCTCTTTGCAACTCGATCGCCCATCAAATGAAACGAGGTGATTATGTAGCAGACGGCGATGATTGTTGTACAGTACAATGTCGTCGTGCAAGACGTCATCATCGTAACCATCATCATCCCTTAAGACATTCAGTGTCGCCAAGAGAATTGAGCTAAGTACCGGATATTCTTTCTTTACGGAGAAGAACCCTTACTCGTCCTAAATCGAGTGACTAACTTAGTTATTGTTACTCTTTTGTACGAGGAAGAACTCTTATTCTCTACTTTGGGCGAAGTACTATTGTGTACTTTTTACATTAACGTATATATCCTAATCCTTGGTCCATTGAAAACCACAATCCAATGGAATTCGGAAAAGTAGAGAACGAGGAAAGGGAAAAGGGTAGTTCGAGAGTATTGATTCTCACTGGGTATCCAACACGATGGGAATGAATGGAGAGAAAAATTTCATGAACACAATGAACAAAATAAAAATTGAGAAGTCTCTCTGTCTCTTTTTTTTCTCTCTCTCTCTCTCTTTCTCTCTCTCTTAGTCTTCGTTCTCTTAATCGTTCATACGTCGGACCCCATGGCACCCAGTAGCCCGCAGCCAGACGTTTTATTAATCAATTGGCTCTCATCAAGGAATAAACGAAACGGAAGCTAACTGCTCTCTATTTACGAGCTACTATAAGGTACAGCAACCTTTTGAAGGCAAAAAAAAATGAAAATAAAAACGAAGAGAAGGAGAAAAATGACGATGACGAAGATGATAGAATGATGATGATGATGATGATGATGAGAGGGAAAAGAAACTTTAGTCGTAACGGTATCGCAGTGCTCTACTGTACCCACCAACCTCATCGAGTTACCCAGCAACCAAAGAAGACTGAAGAACCTCCGATGGCGACATCAGTTATCATTATGCGATATCGCTTGCTTCATAATCTTACTAATTATTTCAGCTTATTATTATTATTATTACTATTATTAATTATTATTATTATATTATATACCATTAATATTGATATTATTATTATTATTATTACTATTAGATATATTATTATTGGTATTGTCGTAACTAGTACGAGCTACTACGGTAACTTTATTTCTTAAGAACCTTACAGGTAATCTTGCGTAACGTTTTACCTATACTTGTAAATATCGGATATCGTTCCAACATTATTTTCATTCATATTTGCAATTTACCTTTCGTAATGCCAACAATTCGAGTCTTTTCTTTTCATGTATTTTCGCTATTATTTAACACTTGTGTATTTATTATTGTTTCTTTTTAGCTCTCTTCTTCTTCTTCTTCTTCTTTTTTCTTCTTCCTCTTTTTTTTTTTATATCTTTCTTTCACTGATGAACTTCATAGAAAATAATCTAGTTTGCAATAACTCTTATTTATTTGGTCAGTATAATTATTAATTATTAGTAAGTATTTTGTTAAAATAAATCATCAATATATGTGAATATTTGATCAAATTAGTACATTTTGTCAATTGATAAAGTTGCGTCAGGGATTAATTCAATAATGCGTTAGAATTGCGTTAATATTGCGTTAGGGTTTACTAACAATTTATATTTTTATATAATATTGACAATCAATTTTAATGAAAAATTTGTTGTGAAATATTGACCTGATAAATATTAGCCGTTAGCAATTTCATTTGTCTCATAGTATTTTTACCTCATAAAAAGCTTAGTCTTTCTTTTCCCTAAGACAATAAATTAATTATTTTAGAGATTGAATTGGTACGTAATCAGTGCTGTCTGTCTTTGTTTAAAAAAAAAAAAAAATAATAAACAAAAAGAAAAAATAGTAATGATGTGTAAAAAAAAAATATGTTTAGTGTAAATCCGTCGTCTATATGTATAAAATATTTTGTAAGCGTGTTTGAATCGTTGAATCGTTTTCGATGTATAATAAGCGATAAAACTGTGAAACTTTGATTTGTAAATGTTAGGACAAGAAAGTAAAACACAGAAAAAGAAACAAAAAAATGGGAAAAACATAAAGATGGGTAGTAATGGCTCGTACGTTGTCGCGGCAACAGCAGCAGGCAGGCCTGGTTGCTTTTTTGAAAAGGGCAACGATTCCTTTCCGTCAAATACAAACTTTGGAAGCACAAATTTTATTCGTGTTCCATGTTTAAATAACGACGGAAAGTTATTTCTTTCTTTCACATATTTTCTACGAAAAAGCGTTGATCCGCTCATAACCGTTCGTGCCTTAATTATTATTATTATTATTTTCGTGCATGCATTAGTTCGATACTATTAACTATAGGATTATATAAGATTTAAACTATATGAGTAAAACAGTCTGTTGATTATTGACAATTTTGTACATAAAAAGAAAGGAAAAAAAAGTAACAGACGAACATGTGTAATGTGTAAGGAAATGAAGCATCTATCGATATACTAATGAATTATCAATTATAATTATTATTTTTATCATTATTATTATTATTATTAATTATCATTATTATATATTACTATTATTAATATTATTTATACAACTCGATAGTTTATAATATATCCCTAATTGATTCCACGTGATTAAAACGTGGTTTCTAAAGTAACAAACCTATCATTTGTAATTACAGTTATTATTATTAGTCATTATTATTTAAAATCATCTCTCTCTTCCACTTACGTATGCATGTTATCGATCTTTATCTTTTTTTCTTTCTTTTATATATATGTATATATATATAATAATAATATATATATATATAAAATAATAAATATTTATTATTATTTAATAATAAAAATATTTATTATATATATATATAATAAA